TTTAAAAAAAAAATTTGTGGCTTTTAAATAAAGCCACGAATTTTAAAATAAAAAAAATTATGTGGGCTTTTATTTAAGGCCCAAAAATTTTTAAGGCTCGAGCCAGGCCTTAGTTGGGCTTGGCTCGCGAGCCTATGAGCTTATAATATCAGGCTCAGCTCGGCTTGGATCAGCTCGGCTCGCTAGGCTCGCGAGCCTTAAGGCCTATAAGGAGCTTTACCCATGAAAGATGGAGTACTTAATTGTGTAGTTCAACGAGTAGTAGAACATTTTGATCAAGCCAAGAGAGGGCACGGACTCACAAATATTCGTTAACAAAAAATTGATACATGGGAGAAAAAAATACAAATTCCCAGTGCTCGAGTACAAGATGTAGCAGAATTAGAAAAATTCTCAAACGGCCAATAATATTGCTCAATATTACTTACAAAAAAATCTTTGATAGTGGAAAATATCGATTAGGTAAGTATGAAAAAATTGAAATAGTGGTACATAATGGACATGCATTTTCAAGAAACCAGTATTTTCCAAAAGACTGAATGGTCGAATATTATAAGAACGATACTTAGGAAGCTATTAACAATGCTCTTCAAGATCCTTAAGCAATCTGGCTTATGGAAGTAGGAGATGAAATCCAAAGAGTATCTCAATTTGTTCTGGAAGATGGTCGTACATTTAGAACATGGAAAAAGTATACAGAAATTATAAGAGCATGTAAGTAATTAGTTAGCGATACAATAAATTGGCAGTATTAAGAAGGAGTAATTAGTGAGGAAAAGAAATTGATTCTTTCAGAGTCTCTCAAAATAATTGACTTAGTAAAACAAGTATTTGGTGCAAACCATGTTAAAAGTTGACTTGTCAATGAAATTAATGAATGGCATCCAATATCTGGAAAAATAAATGATATTATAAAAAAAGCTTGTGTCGAGCATGGGCATGGTGGATGCTGAAATATACCCAGTTATCACATTAATGATGTCGTATGTATTGATATGAAATCTTGTTATCCAGCTAGCATGCAAGGTAAAGGAGAATGTATATCATGGTTCAACTGATTTGGATATCCAATACATCACCTTGTTCGAGTTGTGATAAATGGAGAATTACCAGAGGATGATATCACTGGATTTGTACAGGTAAGATCTTTTAAATTTGCATTAAATATACAGTATATTCAGCGATTCCCGTCTGGTACGGAAAACATTTTGCGTGTCGAAGTGGAGAAGGATGTGGGAAAGAAAAAGGATGGACTTCTATTATACTTCTACGATATCTTTTCGAAGTTGGTATTCTAGAAAATTTAACTATTGGAGAAGCAATTATCTCCTTTACGCAGCAAACTAAAGTATGACTACCAGAAAATCGAGATATTAGTTGTGTAATTATAGGTAAGTTTACACATGGTGGCAAAATTGATGAAAAGCGTCTTACTCATCGACTTGTAACGGATGAAGGTGAGCTTGATTTCTTGATCAAAGATTGTATTGATGCTGGAACTTTGTTAACTTATGTTCATATAAACTTGTTGAAAATGTTATGGAGATTTCAATCAAATGAAGTAGTAAGGATTACTACAGATTCTATATATATACGAAAAGAAGTTTTATATAAGATCAAAAATATACCGACATTTTTCAAGCAAGTTGAGGTAAAGTCAGATCCAATTTTATGTTCACATTATCCTTCTTGTGCAATGTGTACTAATCCAGAAGAATTCTTTATTTCAAAATTAGAATATGCAAAATGGATTAAAGAGTTTTAAAAAACTAAAACACCTCTAGTAAAATATAATTGTAAAAAGCATAACCCATTTGTTTGCAGATTTTACTTTGGAGAATGGTTTTATAAATTGGATTCTTGTCAGAAGCAGTTAAATCGGCCAGAAGAGCAAGAAGTTCGAGAAATTCAACCTGGTCAATGGTGCAATAAGGGTGAAAAAATATATGAACCAGTTGCTGATATTGTATACTGGTCAAAGAATAGGCATTGAGAATTAATCAAAATATTCCTGATAGTACAGCACCCTCAATTCATGACCCAATTACAAGATGCTAAAAATCATATCTCAATGGAGGAGAAGAGTCTGGCAAAACAACACGTGCAATTCGAATCTTTAAAAATATAAATATAGTTGTCTTTACACATACAAATGCATTAGTCAAAGATTTTTAAGAAAACTGTGATGTAAAAGTTCAAACATAACATAGTTTCTTTCGATGGAATGGTGTAGGGAATTGGACACCCGAACATATGGGAGAAAAGAAATTTCCACAAGTCATTATCTGGGATAAGGTATGTACAGTACCTAAACATATTTTCAAAATGTTTATTAACTATTTGCTGAAACATAAATGTCAGGTAATCTGTTGTGGAGATGATGCCCAGCTTCCACCATTCTTTGGAGAAATGCCTCATGACTAGTTGAAAAAAAATGCTAATTATTATGAGGAAGTTATAACTAATTATCGAGCTAAATGTCCTAAGTTACATGAACTCAAAAAGGGAATGCATCGTAAAAATAATTGAGTACAATCTGAATTATTTTGTGGAACAATTCCAGTTATAAAAAAATGGAATTATTTTGAAGCTGAATAGATACCATCAGATCGAATTCTATCAGCACATTGACTTTTTCAAAGACTCGCATCGCAAATATGTCTCAAACTTCATTATATAAAATACTCTAATATACCAATTCCTTTAATTTATAGGCCAAGAGATGGACGTAAACAAAACTGCCTTATCCAAATTTCCAATTCATTTGAGAAACGAGAACTAGTAAAAAATGATATAGTATATTTATCATTAAATACGTTTTCTAAAAAGTTTATAGAAGACATATCAGGGGAAGAAAAAATACTTGACTGGGATTTAGGATATGCCATGACTATATATACTAGTTAAGGAATGATACTCGAGGCTCCACAATGTATTTGGGTTATCGATGAACATTTGGCATAGGATAATTTAGTTTATCTCGCAATTGATCGTGCAAAATATTTGAGCTAACTTATTCGGATAGAAGGTCCCCCGTTACCTCCTGAAATAGTGGAAGCAAGAAATAAAAAAGCAATCAAGCAATCCTTAAGACTATTTATTTCTGGAAAACTCGTAGGATATATGGATCAAGATAAGAAAAAAGGTCGTGAATTTAACTTATCTGTTAACTATATTTTCAAGTTAAAAGATTTGCAAAAAAATAAATGTAAATTATGCCTCAATGAAATGCTGTGGGAATGGGATGAAACTGGAAATCCTGATTAATGGACAGTTGATCGAATTGATAATAAATTAGGTCACATTGAAGGAAATGTACGTCTTGTCTGTCTTGAATGCAATCGGAATCATCGAGTCTAACCCACTCAATGTACGGATGAAGTATTAATACAAGATAAATACAGAGTGTCCTGCTTCACAGACATTTCCTAAATTAATAATATATTTTTTTTTCTAATATAATAAATATCTAATTTGAAGGTTTATAGATATGGTTAAACAAGGGATTGCCAGTTGACTTTACTATTTGATTTTTTATTTGTCATAAAAAGGTGGTTCACACAGATAATCTAGTATATCCTGAATTTCATCTTCTAAAGATTGATAATTATTTGTAAGGTTAACGATATCTTTGCGAAACTCGTCATATAATATGGATGGTATATAATCCTTTATCATCTTAAGATATTCAATAATGTCTTCGATTTCAGAGGAAATATTTTTAAGTTTATCTTCTTTATCCAAGTTATGTGTATAATTATATTCATCTTCAGTAGACCAATATATTTTTTTGTGAACAAGTTTATATATATTGCAATACTCAAGACCTTCAAATTGCTTTATTAATAAAATAAGATTAAAATTATTATTATATCGATAAAACATATTTATATACCACTTCAGGAGAGATCGAACTCCTTCTGAACACCAGATATAATTAACCATAAAAAGTTGAAATAAATGTTCTTCGTAAGGGATATAGCTAAAGATATTTTCAAGAATTTCAGGTAAAGCTAAGACGCGTTGTGTACTCATAATTAAGAATAAATTACGCATTTTTTTCTCACTGGGGATATAACAACCTTATAACTGTGAAGGCCGAGCATCGAGTCTTTGACTCTCCAATAAACGATGTGCTAATTCTATTAATTTCATTCCGAGATTTTTTATTTACCTAATGTAGGAAAGCAAGTCGGCTTACCCATCTGCCATATTTATTTTTTCGTCTAGCTTAGAGAATGTATAATTATTTATCAAGTTATTAGTTATTTTTTCGTGATAATATACATTATTAAATACACTTAACATGTTTATAAATTGTCTCGTAGAAGGAAAAACCCCAGTCAAAACGTTAATAGATACAGAATCTAATATTATTAGTAAGAGGTTGTTTGATAAGCTTGAAGAGGATTATGGGTTAGAAGGTGTATCTGATGACGATTTGATAGGTGAAGAAATAAAATGTTTAGACCTGCAATTTTGCTATAAAGGAAAGTGGCGAAGCTTAGATGCTACCGAAGTAATAGACTTTCAAATTCGCAAAAATCCATCATTCGATCTGGTGTTAGGACAAGAATGGTTATGGATGCATAAAGCAAAAATAAGCTTTGAATTTTCTTTCGAAGCCCGTAGCCATCATGCTAAAATTGAAATAGATGGTATGAGTATCCCATTAATCGAAGGAGGTAGCAAACCCACAGGTGACTCTTTGAGTCATAAAGTCAGCTCCTCTAAAAATAACTTATCCAAATCAACGGAAAGTAAACCTGGTCTAGCTCAAGAGGGGGTTATGAATATAATTAACAAAATTCTCTTAAATATCGAAGATAGATTCGAAGAGTCACTACTTTGCAATAATAAACAACGAATATTTCACAACATACCTCCTGTACCTCCACCATCCAGAAGATTAAATGATGATGTACCCAAAAATAGCAGAGCTAGCAAGAATAAGAAATATCCTAAAGTAGATTTAGGCGATGGGTATGGAAAGCTTTCATTAAAAACGTACCTCAATAATATTTGGAAGTCGGTTCATTCTATAGAAAATGATATAGAGTATGGAATTTTTAAAAAACTCCGTATTATTGAGTATAAACTAAGTTGTATAAATAAAGAAAAGTTACCATGAATAAAAATCTGAGACAGAGACTAGTTCATCCGGTTCTGATTCAGCATCCATGGGTTCAGACTGGTACGATCTGGATCCTAAGAAACTTCAAAAGAAAAGGTAGAGTCTCGAATCTCTGATTCATTATGTCCATATTACAAAGAAAAAGGTTATATCTCCTACCTGAAAACATCATAAAAATAGGCTTTGTAATAAAGCTGATTAGATCATATTTCTGAAGGTAGATTAGCTAACTTGTTCAAGACATGGGCACTGATTGGTGCTAGCATAATTTTTTATGAAAATTTCGTGTAATTGTTAAAGAGAAACATTTGGAAATAATGGGAGCTCCTCTCCAGTAAAATAAAACATTTTTACTTTCCTGTCAATGAATTTCTGTATTAATACACTTGGAACATTTTCTAATGGACTATGAAATTTCTCAAACTTTCGGAGATATACTCTTGCATTTTCATTAGCTTCTTCTGCCATTTCTTGATTAGTATAGCCAACAATACTGATTTTTTCCTGAATTGTCACTATATCGTCTTCTAAGCATGAAAGCAAATCAAATAATCTAATTGGTTTATCTGAAGAGGTTTTATCCCTTCTAAGTTCCGCTTCTAAAATGGGATTGATATCTATATCAAGTTTCCCCTGTATAACTATTAAATCTCCCACTAAATTTAATAATAACTTATATGAATCATCAAGTGTTTTTCCTTTGGGCTCGTGTTCTGTTTGCTTTGGTACATTGCCATTAGCCATGCTAGCTTCCTAGCTAATACCGAGTTTTTCTTGAATTGCTATTACATCCTTCTTCTTATATAAAAGCACTTTATATAAATGAGTAAATGTTTCGCTTTGATCAGATTTATGCGCCTTGGCACTAGCTCCGCTATTATTAGTATTCTCCATATCTGCTATAATAAAATATATTGACTCACCAAGTTTTGAAGAAATATATTTAATGTAGAAAATATCGCATAAATGTACAAATTTGAATTGAATAAATGGATGTATATATGTTAACATGGCTAAGTCAAGAAACAATATGCATAAAAGAATGGGTAAATTTACTGATATTCCCTCTCAGTATATTAATCTGCTTAATCCAAATAAATATGAACACACATATAATCCAGGGAATAAATTTGTGATAGTCGAAAATAAAAGTAAGGGAAGTATAGTAGGTGTATTTGAGTATACTAACTATACGTATATTTGGAAATGCACCACCCAACCCTTCTGGCATAATTTCGTAGTAAGATATTTCAACTGCATTATAAACCGCGATCAGGATAATCAGATTTTTTTAATTTTTTTTACGTATTACGTAGCACGTTTCTATTACCCGTGACATGTATTCGAGATGCGGAGCCGAAGTGTCATTTATTCCGAAATAGGCCCTTATTCCATCTAAATTAAGTAACAAACAAGAATCGTGTGGTACATATAAGGAATTGTCAATTATCGACGATATACGCACAGACGATTTTATAGGTGAGCGATTACCCGATGTGCAATTTCGGCATAAATAGTACGAAGACATCCTATTTTGTGATCACTAATAATCTATTGCCTCGATTTAGTACGAGATGTAAAGAACCAATGTCATGGATCGTAGAAGTTAACGCTTGGTTTATAAAAACAGGGCAAATTCGTTGGAGATTTTGGTAAGAAAATAAATCATTGTCAAAGCAAGCATAAATTCATTATTAAATCGCACGTACGAACAATACGTAAATAAAAATCATATTATCTATCATAAATTTGACATATAACACATCCGATATTTTTTTAATCGCAATTTTCATCGCCGTTATCGTAGTTTGCGAATTATATCTATGGGGGGTCTTAACAATGGAGATGCTTTATACAATCGCCCAGAAAAATATAACAATGTATGCCATCCTCGCAATTCTATTATTTTTTGTTCGAAGAAATATTTCTCCAACTCCGAGCCCCACCCCAATTCCAAACCAAATGCTTGCTACGATCGATCAAAGATTACAAAAACTTGAACGCGACATTTCGGCTTTACAAATTGACAATACAAGAATGCAAGATGAGGCGGAATGGAGATCCGAAGCCCGAAGTAGAGGTTTGTAGGCACAAAGTGCCATGCTCCGCATAATTTGTTCATTTAATAAGACCCCTACTTACATAAGTTCTATTATCAGCGTTTCCATTATTAGGGCAAGCATCTGTGCAAAATCACAAATCCGACTACCCCGTCAAAACTGAAACTCTCTGAGTTGAATTTACCACTCTATTTGATGAGAAAAGAAAAAGAGCAAAACGTTCCCCCACAAAAATATACAATATCCTGTCCGGCAGTCTACTCAAAGCCAGATACTAAATAAGTCAATTATTTCTCTGATTTTTAATTTTTTTCTGCACACGACGTCTCTTGCTTTGCTTGTTTTTATCTTGTCTTTTAATAACCCCAGGATTAACCCAATTATTTTTTTCACATTGTTCCGAAGAACATCAAGGTTTTCATTGTCAGGGTCACACAAAGCTTTGATCTGCACTTTCCAACTTCTAGTCACATGAACGTTCCTCTCACATGATTACTGCTCTTGAAATAAATTCAGAAAAATACGTTCTATTTGCGCGAAAAACTATGTCAAATAAAATACACGAGTATTTCGATACCGCATATTCTCAATGGAATATTCGCGATTTTTTGGATAAGTGTGATTTAGAACCACTCGGACAGAAGACAGATTGTTATGTTAGGTGTCTTAAGACCATTGCTAATCGCGAGACTGATCGCAGGCGTGAAAAAGCACAGGAACTACTCGACAGGTATACGAAGGCGAGTATATCTTTTTTTTGAAGATGTAGATAGAGAATAGGTGACGCGTCTAGGATTTACGAGATCCTCTGACGTTCAAGGTTCCGAGCCGAGTCACGAAGCCTGTGTTGGAGCGTATACGACTTACGAGGTCGTCTTACGTTCAAGGTTACGAGCCGATCTGACACTGGCCCTGCTGGGGCGTATACGACTTACGAGGTCGTCTTACGTTCAAGGCTTCGAGCCGACCTGGCAGGAAGAAAAAATAGATAGGACATGTTATTAGAGAACATTATTAATTTTCTGAAAATTTTTTCATTCAGGGTACTCGGCCAGATCGTCAATTAGCAAGAAGTTGGGATAAAGAACGTTCTTATAAGAATAAATCAGCCGAACCTTCAGTTCACGTCCACCATCCAACGTTTATAGGAGGAGGGACTGTTAGTGGGATTATAAACTCTGAAACTTTCATTTCCGGATCATCAGAAAAGGATCAGAAAAAGGCACAGGTATGAGTAAAGATATTAAACGTTATTGCTAATATTTTTGTGCCATATTCCTGATATTGATTGTATTTCTACAGGATCCAGTTGACAATATCAGCGCCTTCTTCAAAGATCCCTCTGGCGTAAAGGTAACAAAATTTATTGAGAAACTTCGGGAATTAAGTGACGACTCAGGAATAATAAGTGACGACTCCAAAAAAAATTCAATGAAGAGGTTAAAGTATGACCTTCGCAATAAGTGAATTGATAATATTCATTGCCAATTTCTAATTGATGTGATTCCTTTCTAGGTCGAATATGAATCGCGGAACTCTCCTTCCGTATCTGACGATGATGATTCGAATTATATGCCAAGGTATATATGATTATCCTTTGAATGATATTCTTCAATTCTTCTTAGACTATAATTTTATTTCCTTTGTAATACAAGCGACACTGACGAATCGGCTTCTGATACCGATGCATCTGAGGACAATATAAATGGGAAGGATCTCCCAAAATTGACAAGACGGCTTTTTGTAAGACCTATTATGCTATCCCAAACTCTACAAAGTTGCAGTTGAGCACAGGCAGGATAGTGGAAGACATCCTTTTTGAATTTGCTAAAGACATGGACTATGAACAGTAAGTTTCTCAAAATTTATACCTTGTTTATTATCATTCACAATACTGAAAATGATTAGCCATGCCCATTCCTATATTGTGGACTTTGATGACGAGATTGTCAGAGCGTTATTCACCGATAAGGAGTGGAGCGAACTAATTAAAGATCGAAATGTGGTTCCTTCTGTTCCACGTGATATTGCAGAAGAGCTATCGAAGTACGGAAGTAAAACATTAAAAGAGCTACGTACGAAAGTGATGAAATCATACCTTAAGGATGACGAAGAATATGATGTTCAAAAGCATTATAATCGAGAATGGATTCAAATGACCATGCGAACACTTTGTAATCTGTTCGAAAATATAGATACCCCCTTAGTAAGGACCCAATATGAAGATTGGTTCACGGTCGCGCTTTTTGGAACATGTATTGATTTCTGTGTCAGGGACGCGCAATTGGGAACCGACATTAAGGGGTTTTATCCATTTCCACTAATGTAAACAATCAATTACCATCATCTCACTTGTTTATCACTTTTATAGGACCGATGCACCATCATTGAGTAGTGCCAACAGAAAGAATCGACGTCGGAAAGCAAACGCAAGAAAACTCATTGGTCGCAAAATCGATGGGATAATATATATAACTAATAGACTTGTTGAAATTGGTGCCATTGAAGGTGCAAGGGCTTTTGGGGGAGTTTCAGATAACAAATATCTCCTCGAGTCATTCAAGATGCCCAAAACACTTCGAGATATGTATTCTGATTTAATCAAGGCTGTGAATTATGACGATCAAAAAGCAGATAAACTTCAAGTATTTGGCATCTTACACCTTGGGTTATATATTCAGTTCGCGAGATTATGGCGCGCTGGTGGATCGATCTGCATTTTTCGTAAAGATCCCCAACCTTTTTATATAGATAGCAAGTTCTCGAAAAATGGATTAAGTTCCTTCATTAAATTTCTAAAAAAGATATACCAATATAAGGTATGAAAAATCTTATGTTGTAGTTATCATTTTATTTTTTCTTCTGTGTTCTAATTATTTTCACAGATCATTATTAGGAACAACCTACAAATTCTGAATATTCTAAATGACGATACTGACACTGAATCTGGCGACCTGTTGGAAGAATTGCTTAAAGATGACAATGAACAATGCTCTACTCCACCACCTGTGCCAATTCATTTTTTTGCTGATTGCGAAAACACTCCAAAGAAAAAAAAAGAAAAAAAGGATTAATTCGAAGGAAAATAATTCAAGGCGAAAAAAAATAAAGTCGAATCATTCCGCGATTTAACTTTTGTGACAAAAACCAGTCTTGTAATGTAATACAATATTCTTTAATAAAGTGTTTATCTTTGACACGTATTGCGCAAAGTATACATTTCAATAATAGAACGTGATTTTTCTGCATTTGAAGTTTTAAGTCTACTCAATGAGGCCCAATTCTCGAAGATGTTCTGGAATAACTATATTTGGGTCTTCGTAGTACCAAACATATCTTAAAACAATCCAGTTTTCTTCGCACAATTCATTCTTGAGTTGATCCCGTTCCTGCTGTTTGATGAAATTATTGGGATCGCTTCTGTGAAAGAATTCGATGTATTTTTCATGTTGTTGCCCTTGTACTTCGATTGCAAAACCATACTGTGGATAATAAATATCAAGATGTAAACCACTTGGATGTTTTGAGAAATTCAGGTTGACGTATCTTAGATGGGGGTCCAAGATATTTTGATACAATTTCTCGACACAAATTTTCGTGTTTATATTTTGAGCAATAGGGACACCAAGATTCTCTTTGGATTTGATCAATTCAAGTAAGCCATGAATGGCCTTTAGAACAGCTCCAAGAAAGTGGAGAACGTCTATTATAATAAAAACTAGAAATACATATGCCGCCTTTTTTATTTGCGAGATTCTGAGCAAATTCAAGACTAAGTTTTTTACATTCACGACACCAACATTTATTATTTTTAACCTCTGCAAGAGATAGGCGAAATTGATGATTATTTTTGCATTCCCATAAAAGAGGTGATCTATTGTTAATATAATTTTCAGAAATACATCTTCCATTTTTTTAGCAAGTGCTAACTCACGAGCTACTGAAATATTAAGTTTTTTTACTTACACAATGAGGGCACCATGAATGTTTGTTTTTGATATTATAAAATCAAGTAGTCCATTGATGAAATTTATTGCATTCCCAAAACATTGGAGTTATATTATTAATATACCCTATGGAAAGGCATTTTCCTCCACAAGATTCTACTATCTTTATTGCATCATTCAAAGATAATTTTTTAGGCATTGTAATTAATAATATATTCTTAAATAATTATCTTACTTTTCAAAATATTGTACAGTATCACAATCTATATCTAAAAATAAGCAAGAAACCATTTATGCAAAAATTCTTTATATAATAGTGGAGCTAGTGTCAAGACACATACAGATATGCCTGATCAAGAAACTCAAACCCGAGATACTCACCCAATTTGTGATCACGAGGAAGAGATTAATTGTCACGTTAAAAAAGAGTTAGATAGTTTATCCCTACAATTGCTTAAATACAATGAAAAAACTTTTGGCTCCTTAATGCGAGAAATCACTAAACAGCTCGAGGAACGGGTTAATGCTAATAATAAATTGCGCAGTGAGATAGAGCGACAAAAAATACAATTGCATAAAGCGGAAAAATTACTTGCATCTCTTTCCATTAATAAGTAGTGAGTATGTTGATATTGCACTTTATTCATCTAATTTTAAAGGGGTATCCCAGCCTTTCCTTATATAATGGGTATCCTCTTTCATTCTGGTTAAATCGATTACAATGAATTCTTGACCTTGCAGATTTTTATCAAGCATATCAACGGCATTATGCCAATTTTTTGTGTATCGCCTAGCAATATTAGCTAGTTCATCATATGTGCCGCTACCATTAAAGAGAACAATATAATCGAGATTTTTTCTTATTAATTTTGAGCAGTCGAAGAAGGATTGTATAACATATATGCTACTAATATTAGAGTGTCACCCTTCAGTGAAGTAACGAGCAATTTTTTCTTGTATTTTTTTAGGTTCGGTACATACATCTTCGAATATAACAACTGTTCCTCTCTCAGGAGAGAATTCTTCTATCTTTGATATTTTATCTGGTTTCATTGCTCGGAATGTAACATCTTCACAATATTGTTTGGGGCTATTTGCAATAATGCTATAACAATCGTGCAAATGCCTATATTTCAGTTCCTTAAGATGATGTCCAATCAAAACCAAATCATCATTCTTAATATAGTGTGTTCTACCCTTTTTTCCATCAAACATTTGAAACATCTTATTCCCAAGTAAAAGACTAATAATCATGTTTGTTTTCCCCGATCTTGTCCGCCCTGATACTAGAACATTGAAAGGTCACTGAGGGCATAAGTTAATATCATTAAAACATTCTGGGTTTGTATACTCATCGATATTAAGTACAAAGATCTCACACAGGTCAAGTTTATTAGGTGCCATATTTATATATCTTTAGATACTAGCTCCGCTATCTTATGAGTTTATTTCTTATGCAATAAATAACCTCTCTCTTGTAATTTGCTTTTTATGTAAGGAAGTAAATCACAGTTAAACGGAACTTCAATAAGACATATACCTTGTTCCTTGCATATATTCCACTTTTTTTAATCTCTAATTTTTTGTTGTTCCAAGTCTATTTGGCCTCGCTTATGGAATATTGAATTAAGACTATAGTGTTAGGATCCTTGGTATTCAAAAGCTAATTTCAACTCTTTGTTATACCCATCTAATTACATTCCATTCAAAAATTTTGACCTACATGATGGGAATTTTTTATCTAGCAGGTCCTCAAAAATGTATCATGTTGACCTTTCGGTAGTATGAAAACAAAGTGGACACCATTCGAATTTACGCTTTAGTACTTCTAATGGATACTCAAACTGATGTTTTCCATTTTTACAGGACCAGAAATATACATCGAAACCATTTATACGACCAGTTTTACCAAGACATTTTCCATCACGCTTCTCGGCATATTGTTCTGCTTTAGCCATTTTATTAATAGCACGAACAAAATTAACAGATATGGAGTAAGCATTTTCTTCTAATATACTCTGCAGCGAGTACTCGATTTTTTCTGGAAATACCTGCATGAGCTCCTCTCTCACGAACCCCCGCTTTGATGTAAACTTATCACCTTCTAATTAATATAAAATAGGTTCATTCTTCGTTACCACATCAGGAAATTTAATTAGGCGTCGATTTACGGAATATCACATGACCTCCAGAAATTTCCGCCTGAAAAATTTGAT